TCGGAGAAGGGGCAGGGAGGTTTTTGGATGGGGCAGTCAAGAGACGGGGGGGGGGGTCGGGAGTTCGGGGGGGGGCTTTTGGGGGGATGGATAAGGTTTTGGGCAGTCAGGGTACAGGTAGGGAGTAGGGTCCTGGGGGGGCAGTTGGGGGGGGGTCTTAGGAGGAGGTAGTTAGGGGACGAGGAGCGGGGGGAGGGTTGAGGGTTCTGAGGGGGGGAAGTGGGAGGGGCAGGGGCGGGGCTAGAGTAGGATAGGGCGGGGCTCCTCCCGTCCTCTTTTTTGCTTGCTGAAATATGGTAACCCTAGGCTCATTAGTGTAGGGTTGTGATTCCTTGCTTTCTTTTGTGCCCATTACTTTTTCCCATATGCTTTTAAATGCAGAGTATTCATGTGGAGTGTTGTCAGATGAAGTCCAAAGTTTGACAATCTATTTTTTTTTTAGTTTTGTGTAAAGAATCAACTGTTGTTTGAGCTTTTATATATGTATAATTTTACAGCTGGCCCTTGGTTCTCCTAGGCTGACACAGCATTACTATAATATTTTGGTCATGGTACATATCGACAGTGTGGTTGAAAGAATATCATATAACAAAAAAATCCAATTAGACTGCAGTTCAAATAAAAACATCATATACTACAAAATCTGAATTGTTATAAAATCTGGAAGTTTAGTACAGTGCTTAAAAAAATTAAACACAGACGACAGAAACAGAGTGTGGCAGCGTGGATTAAAGAAACAACTATATTAATCTTATTTAGAAGATGAATGAGGCCACTTTTGGACCCAGTCATGCAAACACTTAACTATATGCTTAACCTTATGCACGTGAATAATATCATTGACTTTGACATCAAGCTCATGCTTGTAAGATCGGGGCTTTGGATTTCTGTGCACAGTTCAGTATTGCCAAGAATAGCAAGTGTTCAAAAATCAAGAGTGAAGCCCCACGATATCATGAGATTGACTTAAAAATCAGGAGGTTGTACAAGATAATAAAACCAGTGTTCTTTTTGTTTGCCTTCTGTTTGTTTAAGTCTGTAGAGATCACTTTTTAAAGATTTTCTCCATAGCCACGAGGCCTAGAAACCTACTTTTGCTTTTTTAAATTAAGGCTGAAATCTTCCCATACTAACATGACTCAAGGAGCTAGCAATTTAAGAAAAACACCAGATAGTGCAAAACTCACAATGAAATCACAACAGTTGGCAACACTGCAGTTTTGTTCACCTTAGTTTGAAAGCGCTGTCTAAAAAGAAGTGGAAAATATGTGTGAGAGATCATTTGGAATGCTACAGAGACTTCAGAATGAAGATTGAAAGAGCAGGCCTCATTGGTTATACACCTGGTACTCATACTTGGCTATCAAACTATTGCTTAATATATTGTATCTCTAGTTTGCACTACCTAGAAATGCAGACTGTATTTTTTTAATAGGAATGTCATTATTTCCCTGCTCCAGTGGAGCCAGTGTAACGCAAAAGACATTTAAATGTCTGGACAGTTATATTGCTACCTTGCTCATCACTGTGGTATCTGTGCACCTGAAACAAAGGGTATGAATTTATTGTAAGATAAGAAGGTATTTTATGTACTGTCTCCGTAGAGAGTACATGTGTCAAATAAGCTGCCAGGAGCAGCAATAGAAGATAACAGAATGAATAGTTGTAAAAAGGAGCTGTAGACACAAGTATTATTGTCACTGTGCAGCTGGAACTGATAGTTTGCAAATTTGCCACAGTGCAGTATGAATTTTGTTATACTGCCTATCACTGGTTTAATCTGACCCTTCAGTTTATTTTTAAGAACTGTGTGTTTCTTTTCAGCACCGGTTTGCAGTGACCAGAAGCTTAATGCTTGACCTTCTCTCTCTGAACGATTGCTTTGATTAAGGTATCATATAGCAGCAAACATAAGAAATGAATACTGCAAAACTTACGTAACATGTTTGGTAACTTAAATGGTAGCTAGCGCTTAATGCATGGCGAATACATGCCTCTGAATGCAGAGAGAAGGGTTTTGTGTGCATTTTCCTCACAAGAGAGCTTAAAGCTGTTTTCTGTGTGGTTGTCAGGAGAGACTTGTCTGGCTGGATGCTTCCTGGTTGTATTAGCATAACCCAACCCACACTGAACATACGCCCAGCACTACCTCATTTTACCACTGGCCTGAGGCCAAAAGCAAAAGCACTACAGTGAATATAAGGGAGAAATTACAGAGACGAGAATTGTAAACTTACCTAAGAGTAGACCAAATTTCTGAAAAGAGAAGAAAATGTTATATTTAATATGAATAATCTTTCCCTTTCCAATGTCTATTTACAAGGTTAAAAGCAAACATACTTATCAAGTATATTGAATACAAGAGAACAGCTGCAGAATGTAAGTGCTTCTGTTCATCTCTTTCTATAGCTTTGAAACTGAAAACTCAGAAGAAGAACTGGAGACTGGCACTGAACAGGGTAATTCTGCAGTGGTAATTTGTTAAGAAGGAGAAACTTTGGGGGAGATAAAGCATGGCAGGGGCAAAAAGGAGAAAGAAAAGTGCAGTGTGGAGGAAGATCCATGCTCTTCGCTGTGAAGATATCAAACTGTGGTGTGTAAGAAGGCTGCCTATTTTGAAGTGGGCACCCAGCTACAATGTGAAGGAAAACTTGATTCCTGATACAGTCTCTGGGATGATGCTGGCAATTCAACAGGTACCTCAAGGTACAGTAATACATCTGATTTTCACATTTTAAATAGCTTTAGTCAGACAATTGTCACTTTTCAGTAGAGTTTTTATTTCTTGCTTCTTAGTGTTACGATGAAGCCTGGGTTAAAAAAAAAACCTAGAAAAAAAAAGAATTGTACATTTTCATTAGACCCAATCTAATGGGATGTGTAGGAGAGTTTTTTACACCCCTCACTTTTTATACATTGTAAACAAACATCTTTTCTTGTTTTTAACCAAGGTCTGTGAACAGGGGATTAATGTTACTATGTACCTGTCACTTTGACAGTAACACAAGACATATTGCAGAGTATGACACAAGGATGAATGCTGGTGTTATGCAATGTATTACTAGTGTAACTGGCCATCACTTCCTACTTTCAAATTACAAACAAACAAAGAGCTACAAAATAACTTTGCGTCTTGAGATGTTGTTTTGTTTTAAAAGTAAGCATCAGTATTACACAGTTACCTGTAGGAACCTTGAGAACTGCAGTAAACAAGTAACAAAACATTCTATACATAAAAAAGGCTCTCTGCCAAAGCTATTATCTGCAGACGGGATCTTGTGTGCATGGAGAGCTTGTGATTTCAGCTTGTTTGCTGGTCTAATGAGATGTACTGTATCACATTACCTATTGCATCTCCCTTTCCAGCACTAATATAAACTAGGGGTGGAGCAGTAGTCTATTTTGGCAGCCATAGGTAAGTAACGCTAAGCTGGATTTATCTGGTGATTATTACAGGTGAAAAGTACAAACTAATGAATGATTCCAGAGAAATAAAGTCTTCTATCTATCTAACATCATTGTGCCCGACTTAGGCAACACTTTATACCCGTTCCTGGCAAATGCCATGTTAGTTTCTTGCCTGCCCAAAATGGACTCTCTAGCTACTTCTCTGATGCGCAGGGTAGATGTTATTTCTTTACAGTGTTGCAGAATGGCTAGCCTTAACTATCATTCATGCTGCTCAATTATAAGCACTTCTTTAATTGAATTATTCTGTAGCTGGAACCGGTTTGTGTAAGTATTTGTGCTTTTAGGGTAATTAGGAACATCTGTACTGGCATGATTTAACTTTAAGAACCTTAATACTGTAGTGAACTATAAGTGTCTAATTTTACTGGTATAGTCTTATACAACAATTGTAATTAAAATGCTGCTAATAACAATATGTTAAACTCCAACAAAATATCAATTTAGGGACAATTATACATTACTAGTAGTTTTATCCAGCATAATCTTAATTGAATCTGGTTCCCAAAAATTATTTAACTTACAAAGTAAAACTTTATAAAGCTCAGGTGGTGCTGGAAAAATGCTGCTTTTCCAGATTATTCCATCTTGTTTGTTATGTAATCTAGAAAAAATGTGATACAACTTTAAATTAATTCTGCTGCTTAAAACCAACAATCAAAAAACCTCAAATTCCATCCTCCCCAAACAAAACAAAGTAACTCTCAAATAAAATCTGAGAATAAATTGTCTTTCTTTTTTGACATCAAAGTTGTCCATTTTGCTTGAAACTATTTTGAAGTGTGTGTGTGTGTGTGTGTGTGTGTGTGTGTGTGTGTGTGTGAGAGAGAGAGAGAGAGAGAATATTA